TATATATATATATATATATATATATATATATAAACCAGACTGAATAAGTAAATTGACTCTGCTATCCTAACTGTGCATGTTTATAGTTAGTTGCATTTTATTATTTGCATTCAGCAAATGTTATCGTGACCTTGCAACCCACCAGTTGGGAACTACATCAAGCCAGTTTGATTTTGATTCACGCACATAACAGCCACACAACAGTCAGTCGGTCATTACAGCAAGACAAACCTGACAGGGTGATTTGGTCTTGTTTGTGATAAAGACCGGACGACTGCACATCATTCCACTTCATTACACAGCTACGTAAAGAAATAAATCTATAGGAACTACTGTAAATGATTCCATGTAAGAAGTGAGTGATACAAGAGACATGAAGCGTGGAGAAATACACAGTTCAGCGTCATTACGAATATTTGGTGGCAGAATGCAGTGACTGACCAATCAGAAACAAGGAGTCTGGAATATGACAGGTGCATTACAGGTCAAAAGTTTGGAATAATTACCGTTTCTTTAATGTTTCTGAAAGAAGTCTCTTGAGCTTACCAAGGCTGCATTTATTTAATCAAAAATACAAGGAAAATTGTGAAATATTATTGCAATTTAAAATAGTTTTCTATGTGAATATATTGTAAAATAATTTATTCCTGTGATCAATTTGATATTTTCAGCATCATTACTCCAGTCTTCAGTGTCACATGATCCTTCAGAAATCATTCTAATATGCTGCTTTGCTGCTCAAGAAATATTTCTGATTATTATCAATGTTGAAAACAGTTGTGCTGCTTCATGTTCTTTTAGAAAACGTGCTACATTTTTATTTTCATAATTCTTTGATCATTATAAAGTTCATTTTTTATCATTTATTTTATAATTTATTTGAAACAGAAATCGTTTGTAACATTATAAATGTCTTCACTGTCACGTTTGATCAATTTAATACATCCTTGCTGAAGTTTTTATTATTATTATTTACTATTTTATTGTTATTTATTTTATTAAATCTTACTGACCCCAAACTTTTAAATGGATGTTTCCACAAAAATATGAAGCAGCACAACTGTTTTCAACATTGATAATAATCAGAAATGTTTCTTGAGCAGCAAAGCAGCATATTATACTGATTTCTGAAGATCATGTGACACTGAAGACTGGAGTAATGATGCTGAAAATTCAGCTTTGCATCACAGAAATAAATTACATTTTAACAGATATTCACATAGAAAACAGCTTTTTTAAATTGTAATAATATTTCACAATATTACTGTTTTTATTGTATTTTAATCAAATAAATGCAGCCTTGGTGAGCAGAAGTGACATTAAAAATCCAAACTTTTAACCGGTAGTGAATAGCTACTAAAAACTGGATGTGGAAATTCTTCGTTTCGCCCTGGTCTTCCTGCGTCCTCACCTATACGCCACACGCTTCCTGCATACACTCCCTGTTCTCGTTGCAGCGTTTCCATAGCAACTTTGAAATGTGGGAAACCCTCTGTCTTTCAGAGAGGAGTGAGGGGGAGCTGCTAATCAGGTGATTGAAAACAGTGATCGAGCATCAGCATATAGTGCTTTCGCTCTTGGAAATCAACTGCATTGATGCCGCTTGCTGACTGACTGTATGCGTTACTGTATTTTTCCACTGTCTCATTTCCTGCATACACTACTGACTGACAGATAGATGCGTTTGGCTGCGTGTACATTTGTGTAAAATGGCATATCGGTGATGCTTTATACAATCAGAGATGTCTGTAGTGACTGTGTAGTATTTATCTGACCGGTCTCTAAAGCTCTGTAGGTGAAGGTCACAGTCTTTATGTAGGCTTTACAGTGCTGGCTTGTTATATTTGATATATATGGGATAGTTATCGCCAGTTGTTGTTAATCAGATTCAAGTGCCGAGCATCTGTGAGCACTGAACGTCTGCATCAGTAGCGAGGCCTCTGTTTCCATGACAACCACGGGCTGGAAATAGCCCACGCTCTCTCTCTCTCTCTCTCTTTCTAACATGCATGTATTTATTGTCTCCGAATACATGCCAGTGTTTTTTCCCCCTACTTTTCGCTGCTGTCTGACTCTCCCCTCCCCTTTGCTTTCCAGAGCTCACCTCTCTGCTCCCCTCCTCTCCTCTCCTCTCCTCTGCTGTTCTCCCCTCCGTCTCGGCGGATATATAGTGGCTCAGTTGCCATGGAAACCTGCAGAAACTATGGTGATGGTCTTACAGCATTGCCTCAGCAGCACCAAGTGGCTGAGCACAACTGCATGCATTGATTTAAGCAAATTAATACAGTAAATCGGCCAGGTCAAACTGAAATGTTTGTTTTTACTATGATTATTTTTTGCTGTCAATATTTGGCTATTAATATTCAAATTATATTTAATATATAATACACACACACACATATAGACTAAATATAATACATAATTATGCATATATTACATATTTAAATATTTTTAAGGTTAATTGTCCTTAAATATCATGAAAATAGGCCCTAAAATAGGCTACTGTCAATATTTGGCTATTAATATTCAAATTATATTTAATATATAATACACACACACACACATATAGACTAAATATAATACATAATTATGCATATATTACATATTTAAATATTTTTAAGGTTAATTGTCCTTAAATATCATGAAAATAGGCCCTAAAATAGGCTAAATATAATACATATTTAAATATTTTCTGGATAAATGTCTTTAGATGCATTGCAATACATATATAACTGTTTTGCAATTTTAACATTTAATGATAAATGTCCTTAAATGTCTTGAAAGTAATGTAAAAATACCTTAAAATAGTCTAAATATAATGCACATATAAATATTTTAAGGATAAATGTCCTTAAATGCAATTAATACACACATACACATTTTTGTTTTTATGTATGTGCATACATTTTATATATATATGTGTATTTTTTACTTTTAATTTTGAGAATAAATATGACCTGGAGATTCAACAACATTTGTCAAAAACCATATCCCAATCAATACTAGGTGACAAAAATCCTCATTTTCACATCATCACATATTAATACACATTGTCTTGGCCATTAAAACAGGTCAAAATTGAATTAAACCATGTCTTTTAATCAACACCATTTGGATAAACTCTTTATATTATAAACCGATAACGGATCTATGATATTGTGGAAAATATTAGTTAGTGGGCTTTAGACATCTAACTGTAAATTGTGAAGATTAGTGGATTGAATGAGCAGAAAATGGGTGAAATATTTTCTCTATGTGTTTCGGTGAAATCGGTGATGGTGCAGTTTTCATAAAAGTAGTTTATTTTCTATTCTGCAACACAACAAATGCAGATACAAGTTACACATGCAATGCAGTTTGGGGTGCAAAGTCAATTTGATCATTTCAGACAGCATTAAGGTATGCATTCAGTTTATATGATGTACTTAGATCAGCAAGACCTGGGTACTCGATCACCAGTTTGATCCTAAAATCATTTATGAGGAGGCTATAGCTGTATGTCGACTACATGTTGAAAGGAAGGATCTGTGTTTTAGTTCCTATTAAAGCCATAGTTTTTGAACATGCATAATTGTCCATAGCACAACGTCACCGGTTGCTATAGTTTTGATAAAAATACTTCTGACTGGGGCTTAATGTAGTCAACCGAGCATTCAATTAAAGCCTTCAAAAGCTACAAAACCAGAGCGCGAGTTTAAGACCGCGTGAGCCGGCGTCAGTTATTTCATTCACGTGGAGAGCCATGAAAGTAATGTAAAAATACATTAAATTGGGCTAAATATAATACATATTTAAATATTTTTAGGGATAAATATTCTGAAATGTCATGAAAATAATGTAAAAATGCCCAAAAATAGGTTAAATATAATACATATAATATATATATAAATACAATTTAAAAATTGAAATTAAATAAAAATTGACCCTTATGACTGGTTTTGTGGTCCAGGGTCATATATATATAT